TTTTTTTGTCTGTTATTTTCAAGATTGAAATGAATTACTGGATTTATTTGTTGTTGAAAGTCAGTGAATATTTTCCTTCAATTTTTACGAGTCTAATATAAGCGTTCTTCTTAGGAACTTGTCACGGTGTTCATCATTTTCAAAGAGATGGACCTCAGCAGGGACGCCAAAGAGTGGAGTTTTCCTGTTCGCCCTTCATGGATCAAATCAACGACACTTCCATCTGTAAGTACTGTAATTTGGATTGTTGTATGACTTGTGCTCTTGTGCTTTGTGCTAAACAAAAAATTACGCTGTATCTTAAGCGTTGAAGGAGTCTACTAGTTACTCCACTATACTCAAAGTAATTATTTTTGATCTGCTGAAACATATTGAGGTGGCCTCAGGGTTCCTCACTGCAGACTGCTGATCAGAGGAACCAGAGTAAAGAGTGTGGGGAGGATGTAGCTATGGTGTAGCATCACCTGTGGGACTAATTCCTGTTTCGTTATCAATTACCGGTTGGATATGTCCCCCTCGCCCACCTCCCTCTTCCTCGGTCCCCTCGGGCGACGTTCTGATTTATCCAGCATAACGCGCTCGATCTCAGCAGTAAGCCACATCCTGTCCCACTGACGCCCCTATGGCATGTGTGCACCTAAATCATGACTGATTTTTTTCACGAACAGGAGAGGCGGTCCACGTGCTGTTGGGGGAGGGGGAGGGGGTATCCTCATTATTGAAAAATTTGAATGATAAATTTTCGTTTACGTTCTGGTGCCAATGGTCGAATCGCGAGTATCGCTGTCAAAGTGGCCTTGCACGACAGGCGGCATCGCGGGCGTCCCCTGGGGCCTAACTTACACGCTCTTTAGGTAATTGATATGGATAGGCGTGCGCAATCGGATGAGGGAGGCAGGGGAATGGAAAGGAGGGAGGAAGGGGGGGGGGGCAGGTGGCCTAAGGGCAGAGACTGTCTTGGTGAGGAAGAGAAAAGTAGGGGGGGGGGGCAATACAGCCCCGCAGGCCGGAGAAGTATATCAGTTTCCATCGTTTAAATTTTCTCTGGTTCACATTTTTTCCCTACCCCCCCCCCCTTCATTTCCGTTTCGCGCCAAAACGCGGGGGGAGCATCCCCGGGGCTCAGGGCGCACACTTGGGCCCCTCCTGCCGGAAGTGCAACGACGACGCTTTCCGCTCTTAATGGAGGAAAAGGGTGCGCGTCACACATGTGCATCTCGCGCGGAGAAGGGAGGGAGGGGGCGGAGGGAAGGGTACCGAGAGGGGAGAGGGAGAGGGGGGGGGGCGACATGTGTCCTCGAGGAGCTACGCCATCCCTTCTCCCCACCTCCCTCTCTCACTTCCTCCCCTTCCCACTCACTCACCCGCCTTCATTTAACGGGTTTAATCAGGTACAGTACGTACATTGTGTCTAACGACGTTCACCTTTATCATGGTAAAGTCATTTTAGTTGAAGCAATAATGCCCGGCGTTTTTGGACGCTACCCGAAGGCTGGAGCGAAAGGGGTATAGGGGGCAGAGGATGGCGGTGGGCTGGTGTTGGCTCCTTGGCGGGGGGACGCGCGTGGCGTGGTCGGACCCCAAAGAGAAGAAATGGAAATAAAAATAATTTGGTGGGCTCTGCCCCGCTCTGCTCTTCGCCACTGCTGCTGCGACGCGGCAGTAGCAGCAGCACGTGTCTCTGTCAGGCCCGAGGCTCGAGGGGCCTAAAGGTTTGCCTGACGTATTTTTGGCCTCCTCCCCTGCGCGTTTTGGTCTTGCCCCCCCCCCCTCTCTTTTCCCTCGACATATCTTCCATCACACAAAAGTCTCCCGTCACGCGGAGCCCATCCTTTCCTGCCAACGTACCAAAGGGAATCAGTTTCGCGCTGTCCAAATCGGGTTGCGTCCCAAGTCGCTTTGCCTTGCGCACGACGGAAGGTTCCGTCCCTTGGAGTCTCCTCCCTGGAGTTACCCTTAATTGTGATCTGGCGCATCTCGGGCCCGGCGCGGTGTTTCAGTTTCCAAAGGGGGTACCCCACCCCGTCGCCATCACGGAGCACACCGCTGCCCACGCGCCCGGGCTGATGCTGCTGCCACAGGCCATAACTCTCGTCTTACAACTTTGCTTTTTCGTGTGCCTGTGCTGCGCTGGCGTGGCTGGCGCTGCTCCTCTGCCGAGTCCCCTGCGGCCCCCTGGACCCCTGGCCTCCCGGCCCCCCGGCCCCCGGGCCCGGCCTGCCCGTGGCCGGTAGCTGGTCCACTCTTGATGATGGTACTCATGTTGTGACCCCTCCCCCCCCCCCCTTTCCTCGCCCCGCCACTCCCTCCTTGGACCATCAAACGTCCATCCCGTCCAACTGTATCCAAGCCAAACGCTTTTCTTGGCGTCCCTCCGGTGCGGATCCAGCGGAGACGAGAAGGCTAGGGGTCCTCCTAGAGCGTTTAGCCAACTACCCCATAAGTGGGCAACTCGTGCTGCAAAAAGCATGGTTTGGGCTCCTCTGCCCTGCGGTGGTCAGATGTCCGCGTCCCCCGCTGTCCCCGCTGTCCCCGCTGTCCCCGCTCCGCTGTCCCCG